AGTAGGGGGGTGGAAGGTAGCTAAATATTACGCATGTGTAGCAGGAATAGGCTTCCTCATTCTATTTCATGATGAACTGTAAAGTATATAAAAACTTGAAGTATAGATGGTATATTTCAACCATCTCTAATGTGAGTATAGGTGTATTATTACCAATAGACGTGGCAGTACTGCTAAATTTCGAAAAGAAAGTCTTCAAGTTGAAATTCCAAAAATTTTCGTAAGGTTTTAGTGTACCAGAAGTTTTTTTAATGACGAAATAACAACATATGTCACCCTGGCCTGTTTTGCTCAGTGGTTAGAGCATCAGTGTGCAGACTGAAGGGTCTTGGATTCATTTCCAGTCAAGGGCACGTACCTGGGTTGCAGGTTTGATCCCCAGCCCTGGCTGCGGTTGTGTGGGAGGCAACCAATCAATGTATCTCTCTCACATCGATGTTTCTCTCTCTTTCTCCCTCCCTCCCTCCCACTCTATCAGAGAATCAGTGAAAAAAAATACCCTTAGGTGAGAATTAACAACAGCAACAAACCATATGTCTTCTACTGGGGGGCGGGGGGGCTTCGTCCTGAGTATTTTCACAGCACAAACTGTGGTGTTAGAACGTTAGTCCCATAGAAATAGAGACTATAAAAGACAGGGTCCTTCTTTTTCACATGAAGGTAAATTACGTATACATTTCAGCTATAGGCCATATATTTTAGGAAACTTCCATCTTTACCCTGGACCCTCTTCACTCAGCAGAGAAGCCTGCTGGTACCTTAACAATAGAATGTTAGAGAAGGTTACAATAGTTTAAACATCAGTTTGTCTGCATTCATCCAACTCTGTAATCTCTGCTGTGGATATATTAGATTTGTTTGTATTTTTTAAACCTCATTACAAGTTTTGAAAACAGGAAATTGCTTCTACTATGAAGGATCAATGTGCTCTTGACTCGAGCATCTTCAACAATGGTTTATCTGTGCTGAGGTGGCAATGGAGCGCAGGGGGATATGACAATGAGTCTGGGGTCTCTAACAGCGTTTGCAAAAAGGAAAGTCACTCAGCAGAAAAACCACAATAGTTATGAATTTGTAAACTTCATGATGCTTATCCAATTAGACCGTTCAGCTGCCCAAAGGTGCCCACTCTCAGGTGCATGCCTATTTTTGTTGTAAAATTATCTTTTTGAGGGCGAGGGGACAAGGAAGAAGGCTTGTAAGAGTAAGGTGAATAGTTTAAACTTAAAGAAAATTGTATTATAGCCCGAGCAGTGGTTAGAGCATTGGCCTGCGGTCCAGAGAGACCTGGGTTCGGTTCCTGTTAAGGGCACGTACCTCAGTTGCAATTTGTCCCTGGCCCTGATTGGGTTGTGCAGGTGGTGACCACTCGATGTGTCCCTTTAACATCGATGTTTCTCTCTCTCTTCCTCCCACTCTATCTGAACCAAAAATGGAAAAATGTCCTCGAGTGAGGATTAAAAAAAGAAAAGAAAGAAAGAAAATTGTATTATAGCATTCTCTAGAATTAGGAACGGGGGAAAACAATGCTCTCTGAGATTTGGCCCAAAACGTAAGCCAAACCATTTCCAACTAGAAATAATTCCAGAAATGTAAGCCTAGGGGTTGTTTATTTCATTTTGTTTCATCTTCGTGAGAATTAGCATGAGATGCATCAGGTAAAGTGTTGCTTCTTATTAAGCAGAGCCCGTTAAGCTGCTCACAACATAAACAGTGATGTGGCCGAACGTGGTAGGTTGGTATCTCCTGCCTAAACCATTCCGCTCTACCTCTGTCCCAATTCTTTTGGCCACATTACTATCCTTACCCCTTTTTCTCCCTCTTTGAGATATTTTACCCATTTCCAGGACTCAGTGTTGACCTGAAGCTCCATCTCTAGCTGTCTATTAGAATTCTGCCTGAAACTTCCAGAGGCAACTCGAACGATGTGTATTTAAAACCTAACACAGCATGTACCTGTCTCCTCATAAGGCTTCTCTTGTTTTTCATCTTGATTTCCATCAAGACGAAATTCACTGGAAGTCTCCTCTCTAATTATTCCCCTAAAACTGACCCCCCAGATAGGGATTTTTCCCCCAGAAATCCTTCCCTAAATTCGAGCAAATCTCTCTTATTTAGACTTTCATTGACTTTCAGTAAAATCACAGGAACTTCTAAATGCTCAGTGGCTTGTCTGTTTTCAATGTTCGACTTTTCTGCCAAAGCAGTCTTGACAAATCCCATATGTTACCCCGTCATTCACTCCCTGCAACCCTTCAGTGATCCCTGTGGCCCTCGGGGTAACCTAGCCCGCCCTTAGCATGCCCGCGAGGTGCTTCGTGGAGCATACAATGTTCCTCTCCCAGCTGTCTTCACACCTACTGCTTATTTCACGAAAATGCCGGGGTTCTTTTTGTAATTAAGTTCTGGAGACATCAAGATAATTATCATTACCTCAGCATACCAAATCGAAGTTTCAATTTTTCTTCTATTATGCAAGATGCATTAAAACACATTAACTAAATAATAAAGAGCTTGACATGAATACACCAAATCCCATTTTTCTAACCTGTTTTTAGTGTTATCAATGAACCAAAACATTTTTTAAAGATATTGGTAGTGATAAAATAGGTAAAAGTTTATAATTTGCTTTTTAGCTAACTTTAAATAGTCATATATTTTACCCTAGGACTCCTTTCTTCAATTAATATCCTGTTGAATTTTCATTCATACCTTGAAGGACCCAGTTCTCTTGTCTGGCATATCTGATACGAAGCTTTCTTTGACTTGCTTGGGGATTATAGTTAGAAATTTAAATACTCCTTTCTGAGTAATTGATGGAAAAGTAGACATAAAATCAGTAAGTATATGAAAGATTTAAGCAGCACTATCAAACATCCTGACCCAATGACATCTATAAAACACTCCACTCAACAAGAGCAGAGTACACATTCTTTCCAAGTGTACCCAAAATAGTCACCAACGTAGACCATATTCTGGGCCATAAAACAAGCCTTAAGACATTTAAGAAGATTGAAATCCTAGAAACTATATTCTATGACTACAGTGGAGTTAAGTTAGAATTCAACAGCAAAAAGATATTTTGGTAGACCTCCCAAATATTTGGAAATTAAACAACACTTTATAAATAACCCATGGGTCAAAAGTAGAAATCAGCCCTGGCCGGTTTGGCTCAGAGGTTAGAGCATCGGCCCGTGGACCAGTGAGACCCGGGTTCGGTTTCTGCTAAGGGCACGTACCTCGGTTGCAGTTTGTCCCCGGCCCTGCTTGGGGTTGTGTGGGTGGCAGCCACTCGATGTGTCTCCCTCACTTTGATGTTTCTCTCTTACGTTGATGTTTCTCTCTCTTCCCCCCTCTCTCCCTCCCACTGTATCTGAAGATAAATGCAAAAAATGTCCTCGGGTGAGGATAAAATAGAAAAAGTAGAAATCAAAAAAGATTCTGAACTTAACAAAAATTAAAACATAACAAAATCAGAATTTGCAGACCGCAGTAAAAGCAGTGCACAGAGGGCAACGCATAGCATTACACACGTTTGAGAGCCGATGAAAGGACGCAGCTAATGATTGAAAATTCCAACTTTGAAAATGTAAGACAAAATGTAAGACAAAAGGGTAAATTAAACCTACACAACAGAACAAATTAAACCCAGTAAGCAGAAAGAAGAAAATAAGTGTAACAGCGAAAACCAATAAATAGAAAATAGTAAGGACAACAGAAAATCAATGAAACCAAAAGTTGAAAGAGCAACAAAACAAACCAAATGCCCGGGTGAGATGGAAAAAAGGGAGAAGACGCACATGACCCATATTAGGCATGAAAGAGGACAGATGTTAAAAGAGTAATTAGGGAGTATATGAACAACTTTATGCCAATGGATGAGAAATCTTGAGATAAAATTATTTGCGGGCACAAACTCCAGAAGCTTGCTCAAGAAACAGAATTTATAGTTAAAGATTCCCCTCATAAAACTAGAAATAACACCAACTTTTCACAAAGTTTTCCAGAATGTAGAAGAGAGGATTACTTGTTTCTAGTCTATCTGTGCTAAATATGGAAATAAAAAAACGGAATGGAGAAAATTCTGAGAACAGTTGTTTTATTCATATTTAAAACCTGGAGGCCAGCATTATTCTGATAACAAAACCAAAGAATTTAAAAGAAAATAAAATGACAAATATACTTCATAAACATAGACAGAAAAACCTGTAACTACATTTTAGCAAACTGTATTCAGCAACATGGGAAAAGATACCGTAAGCAAGACAGACATATTCCAGGAATGAATGTAGTTCACCGTTATCAAAAGAATAAAGAAGAAAATTCTATGACCATCTCAACAGATTCAGGAAAAATATCTGTCAAAGTTCAATATCCTTTCATGATGAAAACTCTCAGCACACTAGACACAGAAAAGAATGTCCTCCATGTACTAAAGGACATCTAACGAGACTCTCGGTAGCCTCATCCTAAGGTCAGGAACAAGGCAAGAATGTGCATTGTCAACACTCCCGTGTGGAAATGAAAATATATGTGCAAACAAGGGAATGACACTCACAGGAAAGAAAAGGAACAAACTACTGACACGCACCACGTGGATAAACATCAAATGCATTATGTTAATTAAAAGAAGTCAGAAACACAAGGCCACCTATGTATGAGTCTATTTAGGTCTGACATTCTAAGAAATGCCCAAGTCTAAGCCTCGGGCTAGAAAGCAGATAAGTGGTCGTCAGGGACAGAGAGTGAGAGGTGTAATTAATACAAAAGCTCACAAGAGGAACTTTTTGGGACAATGAAAAGATTCTGTATCATGATTGCGGTGGGAATTACACCATTAAATAACATCCAATTTGTACAATTAAAGCTGATGAATTATTTGTATGTCAATTATATGCACACATATAATTTTAAAGGTTAAAAGTTCTCTGAAAAAATTAATTGGATTTAGTTAATAAATGACAATGTGCAAAGAGTAATATTAAGAGTGTAGGGTAGAGAAGATATTTATTTTTATTCAGTTGTAAGGTGAAGAAAGCTCTTTGCAAATGTCCTAGAGAAACATAGTAGCTTTCTTTCCACCCTTGGCAAGTAAAAAGGGTAGAGCGTCCCACTACTGACATATATAAAAGAAATAAAATAAATTTTTAAAAAAGAGTATTGAGGAGAAGGTGTTTAGCCGTTGATTTTGCTTTGCTGATTTTAGACAATTTGGGTCTCTAATAAAGTCATTTTTTACTTTTAACATAAATATTCCTTTAATGAATATTATTCATTAAAATGCTGCAATTCTCCAATATACCAGGCAGCCCAGCTAAAAGAAATCCTGAACTATTACATCATTCTTTTAGCTCCCATCACATGAACTTGAGATGTTCGGATAAATGGTAGAAGTTATTTCCCTATGTTGGGTATATATGTAGTGCAAAATGGTGACCTCTGAAAGACATGGTTTTACACTGCTTTTGATTAGGTACCAGTATTCCCCAGACCTGCATGAAATATTTTACTGGCTGTTGCCAGTGCAATAGATCCTAACTTACCTTTCATCTGACCTTAAATGTAAATGGAAAGCAATACATTTATTTTAAGTTGCACTGTGAATAAGCAAGGCAAATTGAAATAGAGGCCTTAAGCCTCTTCCGATTTATATTCTGAATCAAGCTACAGAAAGAAAAAGACAAGAATTAGAATTATACTTTCTGCTGTTGAATTACACTTAATATTGGAGGCCATGATTATATTTTTGAATTTATTTTAGGGGAGAACAAAAGAAAAAGAACAGTAGTCAGCATAAATAAAGGAAAATTTGTCATCAATGTTACTTTAAAATTAAAAAAACATAGGCAGATGGGACTACTGTTTTTCAGACACTAATTAACATTTCACCGAAAGGTCAATCATTTCTTTATTGAAAAGTACTTCGACTTCTTTCTTACAGGATTAACATGAAAATAAAAGACATGTAACTTTTCTGGACACTCTTTTAGGATCATGATACTGGATAGAACTGTAAGATCTTACAGTTACAAAATGGAAATAATCAAACTTGAAATAAGGCATAATTTTCAATGAAGGTCAAGTGAATGACACAGTACAAAATTACAGAATTACCTCGAGGAGCAATTTTTTGTAAACTAGCCAAGTCTTGGCCCATGGGACTTTAGAAAGATTGCTATATAATATACAGCCATGTCTGTTTTATAGACATGATCGGATAGGAAACATTTCTTGTTGCCTTTGCTCCCAATGAAATTTGAAACTTAAAAAAAATCCATGACTCAAGTGTTCCATTTCATTACTCTGTATTGATTGTTCATGTGTATCCTTCTAAGAAAGCAGAGAAACATGGCTGTTACAAATCCTCTTATTTCAGACTGATACTTTAGTTTAAAAAACAAGAGTGGAAAGCCCTGGCCAGTTTGGCTCAGCGGTTAGAGCGTCGGCCTGTGGTCCAGAGAGACCCGGGTTCAGTTCCCACTAAGGGCATGTACCTCGGTTGCGATTCATCCATGGCCCTGGTTGGGTCCTGCAGGAGGCAGCCACTCGGTGTGTCCCTTTCATGTCAATGTTTCTCTCTCTCTCTCTCTCTTTTCCTCTCCCTCCCACTCTATCTGAACAAAAAATGGAGAAAATGTCCTCAGGTGAGGATAAAAAAAACAAGAGTGGAAAAACACTGTTAAAATCATCTTAAATTTTAATTTCTATAATAAAGAAGGTAACTTTAAGGTAGACAAGCAACTAAGGAGAATCATTTTTCTGCTTGCCATCTCTGGTCTTGCCAACGAGCTTCATGCAAAATATACGCAACAATTTGGATGGTACATAGCAAGGGAAAATATGGAGGGAAAAATATGTTGAGGAGTCATGTAAGGGTAAAACCACCTTAAAAAGAGTCCACTTATGCAGAGATAGAAAGCAAGTAATAGAAGTAGTTGCCAAGATTTGGGCTACACTGCTGTTTACTTTCAAGTCTCACTTATGTTAGAAAACATGAGCCTCTCAAGTCTTCCTTCTGATGCCTGGCAAGATTCTTTAAGTCATAAATTATGACATTTCATGCATTGTCTAAGCCTGCTTTCCTTGGAAATGAAAAGTTGCAATACTGATCATCTAATCAATTCCTAGTAACTTTGCTTTCCCCCTTCTCTAATTAGAAGCTCTGTTAGCTCCTGTCCATAATTTAACTTGGCATTCCACACTGTCTTTCATACTATACCTAGATTAACCTTCAAAAATAGTGTTTAATGTCTTCATGAATAGCACATTACTTAGAAGAGAACATCAAGTTTTCTAGTAGTTCAAGAGCTGGTAAAATCTGGTTTCAAGTTTTCCTTCCCAAAATTTCGCCATGCTTCTCTACCTCTAGGATACATCAGGTATGATCTCCAGATGGAACCTTTTCTTATATTCTGACCCTTGCCTGAGAAACATGCCACTTGAGGGCTTAGCTGCAGAACATTCTTGCATAATTTTTAGAGCAACTCTGAACTCCAAATTTCTGTAACAACACTATCACCTACTTAGTATTTACTACTCAATATAGTGTATCTAAATATCTGAATATCTACATATTTGTATACATAGACACAAATTTGCTGACAAATTCATACACACATGAACACACAATGAAAACCTACAGGACTGTTGACCCAACGCTTCTTTTTCAGCAACCGTGGCTCCCATTAGCCTTAGCACCCTAGAAATGAGCATTTTATAGCGTGACCCTTTCCATTGACTAGAGTTGATTGGCCTAGAGCTCTCCTCGATGAAAGAGGAGGCTCATTCTCAGGCTCTTCTGTGGGAAGTTTAAAACTTGCAAGAGCATTGAGTCAATCTCTTCCCAGTAGTGAACCTCTAAATTATAAAATCAGGACATCTCAGGCAGAGTTCACAATAGTATGTATTGCAGATTACTCAATATCCTTGATCTATTTCAACCTCCTGGCATTTCCTCTTCTGCTGCTGAGGCCAAAGGGCGAAAACTACCTGTTGAAGACCCCCTTTTAGCTCCAGTCCTGAGACTTTGGATTCTGCTAATCAAGTATATTCCAACAAGATATGAATTCAACTTTGAATTTCTGGGGAAAGGGTCATGGAATGAGGTGCAGGTTTTATTAGTGCAGAGTGGGGCGGAGGCAAAAGGTTCTGCAAACAGCGGCTGCAGTGAAGACCCTCAGTTTTCTGGGAAACTTCTCAGGCAGGACAGAGGCGCATTCTCTCAGTGGTCTAGTTCTGCCATGGCCTTTGGACGTTGTTCCTCAAAAATCAGCAGTTTTATTTTTTCAGCACCCCCAGGAATCCACAAGCCATTTAATAAATGTAGTTTCTGCTGAAATGATCTAGAGTGGTTTCTTTTCCAACACTGATCTCCCCACAAACCTGGTCTGTAGTGAGAGAGAGCAGAGACGAAAGGCTGGGATGACACCAATGACACGTGGTTTCCTGGTCCCAGGTGCACTTGGCACAACCATCACACCTGGGCTTCCTCTTCAGTTGGCTGCTCAGCATTTCCCTGGACTGTATCAGCCACTAATTGCACTTTCTGCTTTTCATTTAGTTTCTTTGGTTCCTATCATTTTGAGCATAAAAATAAAAACACTACCGTGTATTTCACCAACCCCTTCCAACTCCTTGTCAGAAAGGGACGTGCGGGTACCGTAAAACCTACTGTGCATATTAAATATATCTAATGAGTAAAAGATATTGACTTAAGAAATTTTTATTGTTGAAACTTTTATAAACACGTAAATCAAAATATTTTTTTTGAGTATCTTTGCTCAATTATGTTATTATTAATTGTGATGACCCTCAATGAACAATTTATATGAGAACAGCTTCTTAGTTGTGACCTTTTGAAGAAAATCTTGGTCATTTGAAGAACTTTGATTCCATTTCCAAAAACAAAAAAAGTGAAATAAATAAGAAATGGTATATTTTTAAAAGTATAATCCTAATAGTTACCAGGATAATACTAACTCTTACATTGGTTTATTCACTAATGGAAATGTGAACAATGAAAGTTGAAGCGTATTTTGAATAGGCCAGCAAATATTCCATTTCTTTAATGAAGAAAATTAGCCACCACAAATTGGTAATAGCAGTCAGACAGATCCACAAAGAACTTTAGTGCCTTAGAGGCCTATTAAATATTTGGAGATAATTTAACTACTGATTCATCCACTAACCTTTTAAGCAAGTCCCTCCTCCCATTTCCTTGGGGAAAGTGCAAAAACTTTTCCAAGGACAAGCCCCTGATGTAGAGAAGGTACCCGAAGGACAGAAACTGTATAACACATATAGGGACCAGCTGAGAGCTTGACCTCATTTAAATGAGCTTGGATGTGCATGAGGCCAAACAATAGTAATAACAAAAAATTAATAAAAAAATAAACAATCTGAGAATGAGCACATCTGGACTCACCACCAAGCAGTGAATCACTCCTACTGGAATGACGAGGATGAGGTTTAGCACCACTACTACTTAAATCAAACTTCATTTTTTAGTGCTTCTTTGTATTTTGGTCACAGGCTTTAACCTTTAATGCACATAAATTAAAAGCATTTTTTCCAGTTTAAATTCAGACATGGAAAAGTAAAGTGAATAAAAGACTGTTTATCTTCTCCAGAATGTGATGGTAGCATTTATACTTTCATAGCACAATAGCTATCCCTCAGTTGGTAAATCTCTGCCTAGAATAAATAAAATTGGTCATGTCCATTTTGTATTTTGTCTTGTGCTGTTGCTAAGATGCCAGGTTTGAAATCTCAGTGACCCTGTGTCTGAGCCATGAATTCCCATGAAAGACAGACAGAGTACTCATCTCTTCACATTGTATTTCCTTCTTTTATTTTGTTTTCCTTATTATTATTTTTTATATTATGGAGACATGGAGTAACACCATCAAAAAGGTTTAGAGTTTTGAATTGGAATCTATCTTACGTGTGAACAAAGGGAAGTTGTACACCTGGGGCAGACTGAGAAATGGGAAGAGAGATTCCTTCCTCATAAATTTAATAATGTATCTCTCTTCAGGTTTCATAAATTTCTACCAGTCACGATGTAATCTATGGTATTGTCTTCGAGTCTCCAAAGAGTCCTCTCTCAAGAGACAAACCAACAAA